AGTCTCCTTTCGATGTATAGAAATGGGCTGACCTTGCCTCTCTTCGAATTGCTGACACCGTTGTTTGAAAGAAGTTGCACTATCCTCGTTCTCTTCCCGAAATTTATTCTTATGAGCCCTTCTTACTAGACCTTGATTGGTTTGTTGGATCATTCCTTAAAGTTTCTGACTCATTGTACCTTAATTTGCTGTTGCTGTTTTCCAAGCAATTATCCTAACCTGTAGAATATTCTCAATCCTGCATTCTCTGCATGATAATTTCCAGCATCAAAACGCTTATCTGGCACATTCGCGGACGTTCGACGGCATTATAGTCGCGGGGCTGGGTACACTCTACAGGTCTCTATGTAGCCCCGACCATAATGAGCTTAAGAGGACTGCGAATAAACCTAAGGCCAAACCATCTTTGTCTTCACATGCTATGTCATTTATATCAAGTTTGGGGCAAAGTACCAAGGTACCAAAGTTGATTAAATTGTCACTAGGGCCCAATGTATATATTTCCTTCCTTTTTTAACTTCTGTATTCTTGCCTTATCACCAGGCTTTGCCGTCAATGCAACCACCGGCGATCTATACGTGGCATCAGCCTATGGTGCTGGTGGCACGGAGCATTCCATTGATCGCCTCGATGCATCCGGTGCACCAGGTGACAACGAACCTTCTACGGCTGCTCAATTGCGTGCCTCCGCAGCAGGAGGCCATTTAGTGCCAGGCCACCTGAAACCCGGTGTTTATCGGCTCCGTCTAAGAGTAGTCGATCAGGGCTATCCGGAACAATCAGTCGAGACCTGGCTCACGGTGGGTTTATATTCAACTTGCCTTATCCACTGTACCTAACTAGAGATTCGATCTATTTCCTTAATAATCTCTGCTCCTTGCTTATTATCTTTTTTAAAATTCACTTCTTTCGTCCCGAGTTAGTTCATTTATCCAAAGGCATGCCTAGAACAAACGTGAATGTTCTGCTTTGGTCTCACTAAAGAGAATTTGCTATTAGACTTCTCA